TCTTCAGGGTGTGAAAGAAATTGGAGTGTGTTCGAAAGAATACATACAAAGAAGAGGAATAGACTAGAACATCAAAGGTTGAATGATCTTGTCTTTGTTTATTACAACCTACGGTTATCGGAAAGGTAACAGATTTATTTATTTGTGTGAGCGTTTTTCAGTTTTCATGTGAATAATAATCTTGTTTTTGCATTTTTCAGTTTTCCTATTTCTAATTATCTATGTTGTCTGTTTGTTTTAGTTTTCCCGTTAAATCAAATATATAGCTTATGATATTGTTTTTTCATTGGTAGGATTGATGTGAAAAAAAATTATCAAGATCCAATTGATTATGAAAGTATTGACAAAACTGATTTTTGGATCCTCGATGATGTGGAGGAAAACACTTCTCCATTATTAGATATAAACGAGTTGAATGACATGCTTTATGGTGAGGATGCCCTACCAAGAAATGATGTGGAAGGTTAGTTTTTCATCTATCTTTATAAGTTTCAGCCATACTAAAAAACATTTGATTAATTTTATTTATTACTTGTTCATCGTCTTCATTTTTATTTCCGTTTTCATTCTTGGTACTTCAGTAACTATCACTGTTTCTTCATTTTCAGATTTGGATAAAGTCACTAATGACGTGGAAGAATTACCTGATGTTGAAGTTGAGCTTTTGGAAAAAGGAGATAATGGTGATTTTGAGTTTGAATTTGAAGGAAGAAATGGTGGAATGCATAACTTGCATGATGACTAAAATCCAGTGGAATATACTCAGTTGGTGACTTTCATTTTGGAAGTTAAGTTTTGTAGGTCTTTATTCTTTTGTTTCATGATGGGTATGTAATTGACTAGTTGTATTTGATGTTCAAATTTGTAACTTTTTACCCTTTAGCATCAAGTTGTGTGTATATGTTACTTGAACATTAGCTTAAAACTCAGAACCTGGTACTAGTAGATGAGATTTCTCATTTTTATCTTGTTCAGAAAGTAAAATTTAGTCCATATTGTCACTTAATTTTTTGTATTTTCAATATGATATCATATATAAATATATAATGTTATTTGTTTGGTAATCCGGTAATACCGGTGGTATTACCGGTCCGACCGGTAATACCGCATACCAGTCGCGCGACCGGTATGACCACCGGTACGGTTTTTAAAACATTGAGTCAAAGACCAACTGAATCGGGAATACACTACAGTCTTTTTCCAAGTGGGGTCTCACTGCCAGTCTAGACTGTGAACGAATAGTTTAGTCTTATAAGGAACCGATAGGTGATCTTTCCGTTCGAAACTCTTCGAACCACACTATCTCAATATAAGACATGGAGTATGTGTTGCATAAATAAATAAACTGCAAACATATGTACTTTGACCGAAACATGATTGCCAGATCAAAATGAAATTGATAGAAACTGCAAAACACAGCTTTTACAGCATACCTCTAACATCTCCACCACGTTTTCGTTTGTAAACCCATTTACAACCTATGGGTACAATACCCTGTGGTGGTTCAACCAAAGTCCATACTTTGTTTGAATACATGGAATCTATCTCAGATTGCATAGCTTCTTGCCATTTATCTGAATCAATGTCCGACATTGCCTCATCATAGCTTATTGGATCATTATCCAAAAGGAGTCCCTCTTCATTGTTCTCTAACAATAGGTATAGCCTCTCAGGTGCCCTAGAAATCCTTTCAGATCTCCGAAGAGGTTGTGTTACATATGGTTCAGTCTCTACTGGTATATTATTTGTGGTATTTTGTGGAATTTCTTGTGGTTCTTCATTAAGTTCTATGACTCCACTATTCTTTGAGAGAAACTCTTCCTCTAAGAAAACAACATTCCTCGAAACAAACACCTTTTGTTCAGAGGGGTCATAGAAATAGTATCCAATAGACTCTTTTGGATATCCCACAAATTTACATAAGATGGATCTCATATCCAACTTACCTCCCACTAACTGCTTCACATAAGCAGTACAACCCCATACTTTTAAATACTTGTACGAGGGTGTTTTGCCACACCATATTTCATAAGGTGTGTTGGGTACAGCTTTACTTGACACTCTATTCAAAATATGTGCTGCTGTTTCTAAGGCATAGCCCCAGAATGAAAGAGGTAAACTAGTGAAACTCATCATTAATCGAACCATGTCCAACAATGTTCGATTCCTTCTTTCTGAAACCCCATTTAGTTGTGGAGTTCCAGGAGGTGTCCACTGTGAAATAATCCCATTATCTCTTAAATAATCAAGAAACTCATTGGTCAAATATTCACCTCCTCGATCTGATCGAAGAACTTTTATACTACGACCAATTTGTTTCTCTACTTCATTTCTGAATTCTTTGAACTTTTCAAATACTTCAAATTTGTACCTTAATAGGTATACATAACCATACCGTGAATAATCATCAGTAAAAGTTATGAAATATTAGTAGTTCCCCTTGGCACTAACATTTAGTGGTCCACAAACATCTGTATGGATCAAATCCAACAGACCTTTAGCTCGCTCCACTTGTCCAACAAATGGTGATTTTGTCATTTTACCTTTAAGACATGACTCACAAGTAGGCAACCTTTCCTCTCCCCTAAGGTCGAGTTTTGGTCCCAATTTGTTAATCCTCTTTTCAGATATATGACCTAATCGAGCATGCCAAAGTGTGAATGAACTATGATTATCTAATTTTCTTTTATTTTGTTGAATAGTTAGGATAGGACTTTGTGGTGTAATGGTATATAACTCATTTGTCAAATTTCCGGAATATATAAAAGTTGTATCTTTGAAAATGGAACATCTTCTATTCTCAATAACAAACTTAAAACCTTCTCTATCCATTACTGGAATAGAAATAATGTTTTTTATAACATCCAGAACATACAAACAATTTGTAAGACAAATTTTTACATCATTATTTAAAGCTAGATAAACAGTCCCAATTGATTTGGCAGCAACTCTTGCTCCATTGCCCATCCTTAGGATTGTTTCATCATCTTCTAGCTTGTTACTTCTTGCCATCATCTGCAAATCATTGCAAATATGTGAGCCACAGCCGGTATCCAATACCCAAGAAGAATCGTTAACTGATAAGTTAACTTCAACAAAATAAGTACCTGTACTTTTCAGGCTAGCAAGATACTCCTTGCAGTTCCTCTTCCAATGCCCAGTTTTACCACAATGATAACATTCATGATTAGACTGAGAATTAACCTTCTCTTTGTTCTTTCCTTTGTTGTTATTTGCCTTCTTGTTGGGTTTATTGGGAACCTTTCCCTTCCCCTTCCTTTTCTTAGACTTTAAAGCCTTTTATCCAGAAGTGGATCCAACAAGAAGCACCGGCTTATCCTTTTTGATTGTGGATTCAGCCGTCTTTAACGTGTTCACTAATTCTGGCAGAGAAGTCTTCATATTATGCATGTTAAAGTTAACAACAAAGCTATCAAATGACTATGGCAGAGATTGCAGCATGAGATCCACATAGAGTTCATTATCCATAATGACTCCAAGGGACGAAAGCCTTTCAACAAGAGCTATCATCTTCAGCCCATTATCATGAACTGAAGAGCCCTCAGTCATACGACACCTGAAAAGCTCTTTAGATATCTGATATCTAATTTGCCGCGTCCTATTACCATACAACTCTTGTAGATGAAGGAGGATTTCAGAAGCATTATTCAACAATTCGTTCTGTCTCTGTAACTCATTTGACATTGATGCTAACATGTAGCACCGAGCTTGGAGATTGTCATCAGTATGACGTAAGTATTCTCCATACTCATCATAAATTATAAAATATAAATATTAAAATATAAAATTTATTTTAATAATATAAAATTAATTTGTAATAATAAATAAATTATAATAAAAATAATAAATAAAATATTATTGTAATTATTTAGGTTAATTCAATGTACAATTATACGCATAATTTATACATAATTTATATGGAAATGTATAAATTAGATAGTGCACTTTATATAACGGAATGTCGCACTTTATAAAACAATACATTGCACTTTATCACATAATCTATCTAAAAAAACACAAACGTGCTAACGCACTTTATACATTAATACGTTGCACTTTATAACACAATATACTACACCGTATAGAGTCGTGCACGATATTGTTAATGTCTAATAGACTGTATATTAACGGATGTCTAATAGATTGTATTAACGGCCAAAGTCGTGCACGATATTGTTAATGTCTGCTAGACTGTATATGAACGGCCAAAGTCTGCCAAAGTTCGTAGAAACTTTTATATTTCGGTTCAATTTTTTTAATTTAATCAATTTTATTTCAATAAAAATAGTATTATTAATTTTTTTTAATCTTTATGTAAAGTATTGCACATTAATGTTGTACAATTTGCACATTAGTGACTATTATATTGCACCATATCCGACGAAACCGACAAATCCAAAATTTTCAGTTCGAAAAAATTAAATTTCAATTTGATCTATTTTTTTTATTTTTACAATCTCCGTTATTTCGGTTCAATTCTGATTTTTTTTGTTTAAATTTACCTAGCCGAACGATCGAATATATAACAAAATATTATTATTATTTTTTTTGTTATATTTTTATGTAACATATTATTTATTTTAAACAAAAAATCAAATAAAATTGTTAAAGTTTATTATAGTTTAAATAATTATGAATTTGACCCATAAACTTAATTGTAATATATTAATTTCTAAAATTGCAATCTAGTACTTATTGATATCAAATTCCCAAATCACAGTCCTTCAATCCAAAGGAACCTGCGGGCCGTCACAAACATCACACTCACGCCGCCGTCGACCACCATGCCCGCCGTCGACCACCATGTCCGCCGCCGAACACCATCTCCATTGTCGTCGGCGCGTCAACCGGGCTGGATAACCACCACAGTAGATCCGGCAAACACGTCCGTCGCGTCATCAACATTCTCATCCTCCGTTGCCGTCGACAACCTCCACGGCCACCGGAGTCCCACTCGTTGTCCACCTATTTTCCGGCATCTGAGCAGCATGTCTCTGCGTCCGGCAGCCGGAAGTGTTCACGTCGTCGTCTTGGGGAGCACCAATCGTCTGGCCATTGGATCTGTTGACGGCGGCGACGAGCGTTGGAGCCAACCTATGTGTAGGCGGCCGGAAGTGGCCACGTGTAACCACAACCTGTGTGTAGGCGGAGCGCCTATTGTCAAGCATTCGAGCGGCACTTCTCTGCGTCCGGCGGCCGGAAGTGGCCTCGCCGTTGTCCGGTGTGTGTGTGTGGGTGTGTGTGTGTGTGTGTGTGTGTGTGTGTGTGTGTGTTCAGTGTTTGTGCTGGTGTGTGTGTCTGGTGCGTGCGTGTGTGCTCATTTGTGTGTTGTGTGTGTTTGTGTGAGAGAGGGAGGGGATATGTTAGTGGTGTTAGTGGTGTGGTCCACTTGATATGTGTAAATGTCTTATTTACCCTCATTTAGTGCTAAATGTTTATATTTTACCATGATATATATAATTATTTACAATAATGCCATTAGTCTTTGACTGTCACTTATTAATTTTGATTTGATAGTAACCATTGGATTGATTGATCTTATGGTACAAGATCATTCTTATTTCTTTCACTATCTACCATTCTCATATGATCCTTTCTCTCTCTCTCTCTCTCTCTCTCTATATATATATATATATATATATATATATATGTGTGTTACAGTTTGAACAGTTCGAGGCTATCAGCACTTACAATTCATATCAGCAGTTCAGGTGGGGACTCAGACTGAGTATTACATTGAGTATAATTACAACTATCATGTTCGAGGTATGTATGTACTAGTTCCGCTTAGAATGGTGGCCGGTTCAGGTGCCCTAAATCCATTCTGAGTTCTAGTGGCGTAATCTGCCCACTAGGGAGTGCACATGGTTCCGGCGGAGTTTATTATAGCCGGCAGATTCAGTATCTGGTCCAGTTTATACTATTGACCAACCAGTTTCACATACATGACATAGACACAGATTATATATATGCTTTCGACCATGATATTGCAATTATTATTACTGTTTTATTTCAGCATGAGTTTCTGCGGAGCACAGTGGCTTTTAGTGCTCACGCCCCCACGATATTATCTTTTTCAGGTCACAGGGTCGGTCCCGAGGAGTGAGCGGAGCCGGTGGTTGTGGGTTCAAGTACATGTTATTTTGCAGACTTTTGACATGTATTTATTTATTTTGCCACGATTATACTTCCGCTGACATTTCCAGATTTTTCAAACTCGCATGTGGATTATCAGGTTTTAATCTGATTTTCCCAGTCGGATCTTGTACAGTTTCACATGCTTAAGATAATCCGTTTTTCCTAACAGTTTTTATTCAGAAAAGATAATGGATTTTTAGAAAAGAAAGTCTTTCCAGTAGCATCCCGATTCATGATTTTGCAAACTAATATGTATTTTTAGAAAAGTATTTGCGAAAATTTAACTCTGATTTTAATAAGCTAGCGGGGTGTTACATCCAGTATAGACATCGCCGCCACAACTATCTTCAACTTTTTTGGCATTTCATCCAACCTTGGCGCGGTCCTCTTCAGATAGTCCAATGTTAACTTGGTCATCTTCAGCCCTTAAGCATCCATCTTCGACCTCCGTAATAGCTCGTCCAATTGTCGTGTCTCCATCTGAAGCCTTTGCAGTCGCTCGTCTTGACATGATCATCTTCGACACGTGAACCTGCGGCACAAACACCATGGCCACGATCATCTTTAACCTTTCCGGAGATGTGTCGTCCTAAGCGTTGATGTTGTGCAGCAAGGTCGATGGTCCCTCCGTGCAGCTTGGCCGGTGAAATATGTCATCTTAAGTTGGTGTTGAGCAGCAAAGTTGATATATTTCTCCATGCGGTTGTCTGAGCATTGTCATAGCATTTGACAGTAGCTCCTTGGTTGTGGTGAGTCGCTCGCAAGATCCATGCCCGAACAGCTCTCGAATCGCCCGCTTTAGCCCGGAAGCTCTGAAATAGCCTTGGTTCAGCCTGGATGGCTCTCGAATCGCTTCATTTCAACCCAATCAGCCATAGGAGCTCTCGAACAGCCTCGGTTCAGCCAAAAACAGCAATCGAGCAATAGTAGAGCAGCCCCGAGCAGCTTACCTTTGCCCGACAGCTCAAACATAACGAGAGAAATAAGATGAAACATAAAATACAGGAAGAAGAGTATGTTGATACCATTCGGGCAATTGATCGAACAACTTTAGGTCAGAAGTTTGGAAGCCTAAAGTCTATGAGCCCTTTGATGTTGTCTACCCAAAATTTTTCGACTGCAGCTTGAATACAACAACTCATCAATTAGTATCCAGAAAAAAAAAAAATAGTTGCAGCAAGTTGTCTTAAAAAAATGACGCTAAGGACAAACGAGAAGGGAAGAAGAATAATGGCACTAACTGTATTCGTTAATTTGGTGTCTGAAATATGAAGTCGAGTCCCCTTTTATAGAGTTGAGATTGTATGGATATGGAGATTTTCATATACGTGAACAAAAAAGAAAGAAAATGGTTGAAAGGAAATAAACACCTTGCCATGTTGATTATTTAAGAATGGGAACAAAATATTGCAAGGTGATTTAATTAAGAAACATCTCTCCAAGTTACTCATCAGGTGCTTAATAAGTTTCCTAAAAGTGAACATTGATTTTAATCATATGGAAAGAGATATATGACGCAAGGAGAATGTGAGAAATAAATTAAATTTGGGAAAAGGTTTTCCTACATATTCAATGGAAATTTAGAGAATATGGCCAAAATTGTTAAGTGACCGGCCACGTTTGTCTTTCATGGGCCAATTTCCTTATATGATTTGGGACATGCTTTTCTCAAGATTGGGCTTGATGTGATTTGGGCCGTGATTTGTTCTCAAAATTGGACCTTAAATCTCTGTAGTCTAAGATAAAATTCATTCATAGCTCCGATTGAATGATTAAAGTGCCGCGACTTATTCACTTCAAGAAACGTCATCCGTGAACATTTGTAGATGACGAAAATTTGAGCCCAATCAAGTGGCGCAACGTGGAAATTAATGTATTAAAAATCAAGTCATATTTTCTATTTATATTTTAGGAATTTTCATATATTTAATTCCTAAATTTAATTAATTAATATTTTAATATTTTAATTCTTGACCAATCAAATCATGCCATGTGCCATATCTTATTTCTTGGTAAATAAATCACATATCTTCTAGAATATCTTGGAATATCTAAGTGGATCTAGAAGATCTTATGTGAATCATCGTGGACCAATCAAATCGCGTTCTACGATTCTTGAATCTAGAAAAATTCTCTCCTACACCTATAAATAGGGACTCTCCCTAATGTCAAAAATTACACATCACAATTCAAGTCCAAGTTCAAGAGCTCTAGAGAATTCTCTCGACGAGATTCAAGTGTTCTTGAAGATTCAAAGTCGTTCTTGAAGATTCGAAAGAAGACTCAAGCACGTTCAAGCTGAAAACCAACATTTAATTCAAAAACAAGTTGTCAAGCCTCCGAATTGCGTTCATATTTAAGTTTAAAGGCTCTAGAGATTCTCTCGACAAGATTCAGGTGATCTTGAATGTTCAAAAGCGTTCTTGAAGATTCGAAACAAGATTCAAGCGCGTTCAACCTCAAGACTGGCGTTCAATCTAGAAACAAGCTGCGAAGCCTACGAATAACGTTAGCAAATTCAAAAACCGGAGTAGAGAAGACTCAAGATCTACTTTGCGGCGAAGACCAAGGATTCGTGTTCTTCGCGTTTTTTGGAAGATAACGACGTTTGATCTGAAATCAAGGCATTGGCCCTCGGATTAACGTTAATTCAAGTCAAATCAAGTCAATGAGAAGATCAAGCCGAAAATTTCGCTCCAAAACTTAAATTTGTTCGTGAGAAGAATCAGAGGAGAAAATAGAGATTGTAACCAGCTATATTTCTTTGATTCGAGAAATTCATTTGAATAATATTTTTCGTGTTTTTACAATGTTACAGAGACCAAACCTAATATTAAGAGAGGTTTTGTTGAAGAACATAACACCAATAAGGAAATCATCCAAGAGAGTAAACCATTTGCTCCGAGAGATCAGCGCCCACAACACGGACATATCTTTGTAACTGGTTTTCGATGATGCTCCTCTGATTGGGATCAAATGCATGACGTAGGCCCTTCAAACAAACATATAAAGAACAATACGTGTAAGAAAACCGTATAACCCAAATAGATACTGAAAGGATTTCCTGTGTAAATGCCCAACTGGTGATTAGGTCAAAATTTTATCTTCATCCATAATCTTCAATAATCTATAACTCAAACTTAAATTACATATATTCGAAGTGAGTTTAAATTTTAATGTTAGTTGTATAATCTATTAAACTCTCAAAAATATTCGCATGTTCGGTTCCATAATCTATTAAATTTTAATGTTTTTGTGTTCATCAGATGTACTACATGAGTAAAAGATTACTAATCTAGAAATGTGGAAAGAATTCGCTAAAGTTTGCTTTGAATTAACATTGAAGTTTCAAATTATGAGCGCTTGGATATGTTTTCATTGGTGAAAGAAAGTTCATAGAAAATTAATTAATCTATACTTATATAAAAAGTTGTCCTATTTACTAGAATTAGTAGTAAGAAAAGTCAAAGGTAATTAATGCATTCTATTTTTATCAAGTATTTTATTTAATTATTTTATTTAATTGTTTTTTCCCATAACACATTTTCAATACAACTTATCATGATTTTTCTATTGTGATTAAAAACCAGATTTTATGTTTAAAATCTTATGAAATTATTATTATTATTTTTATAAAGCACATATTATTTGTTAAAAAATTGTGTATATATATATATACATATATATACATATACATATATATATATATATATGTTATACACATCATAGTACCATGGTAGATGATTTAAATTTCAACCGAACAAAATGCAATGATTTAAATTTGAACACACCTATGCGTTCGACCAAATGTCCGGGTGACTTAAAATTGATAACACGTTACATAATGGTTGTTATATAAACTATTTTAATATATTTGCAATGAATAAAAGTTTGAATGAATAATTTATAATGTTAGTCATTATGTAAGTCATATGTTTGTGACTTATGAGACACGAATATATAACTCCATACATATTTGCCAAAAGGCGGATTAATAATTTTCTTAGATTGTTTAAAGCTGTAATGAATCAACAAATCGTAGAATAAATAAAAAAAATCATGAAAATGTTTCCTACACTGATAAAACGTTACAAATTGATAAAAGCTAAAAAAATAATATGAAGAACTTTTAGGTTTGTTTAGATTAACAACATTGATCCAACAAGTCAATCTTTCCTGTTTGGTCAAAATAATGGTCAAACTTTATAAATCAATAAGCAAAATGTTTAGTCAAATTAATAATCAAACTTTATAAATTATTAGCAAATGAAAATCAGTCGTAATTGAATGTAGAGTATGTTGTAAATCAATTTACACGGTTAAATTTGTGATAATTAAAAGTAACAAACTAAAAAAATTCAAAAAGTTTAGATGACATGTGACATGCATCCCTCTCCGAGAAAACCTTTATCTTATAGCAGCATGTTGGCTGCATCTAATCTAATAGATGTGTAGAAGAACATGATGGATAAAAAACCTCATCATAACGAGAAAACTTTTATTTATAGCAGAATGCTGGTTGCATCTAGTAGATTTTTTTTTTTTCCTATTTGCAACCAGCATTCTAGTTATACTAAAGTAAACCATTATATCATTAAGAATATATTATAGTTATATTATCAAATCATAAAAAAAATATTAAATCCATATTGTAAAAAAAAAATAATTAATATAATTTTATAGCAATTTTACTATACTATTTAACAGTATTTCTTTTTATTATATAATAAAATAATAATTAAATATTATATGGTGAACAAAAATAAGTAAAACGGTTACTTTCTATTATAGCAAGGGATAAATTTATATGCTAAAATTAAATTTTTGTTAGTATAAATATTTTAGTGATATAATATATTAATATTTTACAAGCTAGCCCTAACATGCTCATATTTAATGTTGTGGCTAAAAAAACAACGATGATTAAAAGATGTGGAAAAAAGCTTATAACCCTATTGTTTTTTAGACTTAATGTCGATTAAAAGAGATAGAAAATAGATAATAACCATATTACTTTTTATACTTAAACTGAAAAGACTGTGAAAATAACTTATTTAATATCTCTGTCACGTGCATCGCACGGAGTACGTACTAGTTTTTAATGGTAAGTGTTGGAATATAAAGAATAATAATTAATTGTATATTTGTATGTCATATGAAATAGTAAAATAATGATAGATAGTTATCAATATGGGAGTGTATGAATGATAAATTTCTTAGATATATGTGTAGAGTAATGATTGATTTTTTTATTTAAATTCATATATAAATATAAAATAAGGTTTGATTATTTTTAAATAGTAACTATTTTTCTCCAAAAATAATCTATTTACTATCTCGAGAAATTAATTTAACAATTTATGGTATATTTGAAATAATCATTTATGGAAATGCGGCTCATTATTTAAGGAAATAATTAAGCCATATAAAAATTCATTTTCAAGATACCTTAATTATTCAAAATAATTTAACAATTTATGGTTATTTCAAATAATCACTTATGTTAAAATAATTTTTAAGATACCTTAATTACTCAAATCATGTGAATTAGTTGATTTACCCAAATATGGGAATTTCGGCTGCAATATCAATTATGTGACTTGGTAAAAACTTTCCAACTAAATTGTGTAATTAATTATTTAATAAGTGTTTTTATATTTTTCGTGTAATTCTTTTGTGAAATACATTTTTTAATATATCTTAATTGCGCGAATTGTGTAAATCCAACTGATTTATTCAATATGTAGATAATTACTAAAATTATGGAAATATCGACAACAATAATTAATTATGCAGATTGCAAAAAAAAAAAATGTTCTAAAAAAATTGTGTTAGGGAATTTTTTTATTTATATATTATTTAATAAATTTTATTCATTTTTTTGTGTTTTTAATTGCTGAAAACGTCGTGGATAAATAAGGAAATAATTAGACAATACAAATTTATAATTTTAGATACCCTACTTACGCAAATCGTGTAAATTCGATTGATTTATTCAATTATAATTTCTTGTAAAATTATTCTAAAATAATTGTGTTAATAGCAATTTCTATTGAATTATTTTTTAATAACTATTTTTCGGTCCTTTTTTTATTTTTATATATAATAAAAGTGGTCTTGATTTTGTTTTGTACACTGAGCAATTAATTTCGTGGTTAAACTGAATATCTTTTTTTAATTTTATCGATAAAGTATGAAATAAAATCATTTGGTATATTAAATATTAATCCAATATATCCTCTTATGATAATAAATGTCGTCTCAATATATTTTTTTTCATATTGCTAAGCATTTTACTCGATATTAATGAAAGAAAATCTGGATAATACTATGGTTTCTTTGTAAATGTGCATGGAAAATATTAAATTATTTGATGTGTGTGCGTGTGTGATTGTATATATAAAGGTTTGTTTTTACTCAAATCACATTGTAGTCAAATTGAATTTCTGAATAAAAATTTTAAAATGACATCTACTTTGAAATGAGCATAATGTAACTTATTATCAGTTACTGCACCTTACGAGTCATGTACTAATTTTAAAAGGGCATGTTTTATGTAATTTTGCACAATTTAGATTTCATATAACATTTTCAACAAAAAAAATATAGGTAAATCGTATTACATATTGATTCCATATTTTTAATTTATAAATATTTTTTTAATGAGCATTTGTTATTTATAAATATTAATTAATATTTCTTACTCGTACTAGTTTCGTATTGACAAATGTGAGCGGAGAAAAGAGAGAATGGTGAGATGAATGAACATTATATATTTTGATCGGTGGATGAGATATCCAAAATGTATCGAATAGCACACTTATATTTCAATATATTTTTTCGTGATGCAGTTAAACAAATTATGCACACCCCCTCTTATTAACTTTATGGAGTGGAAAAAAAGAGAGTGATGAGAGACTTCCACGCACCTTGTATCTCAGACGAGCTCCTCTCACTCCAATCAAAATATTATCAACATTGGCATCTTCCAAAGACACATTAGCTTCTGATTCTGATTCTGGTTCTGGTTCATCCACAGAACAATCAGAATCGAGTTCCATCTCCTCGTCATTCACAGTTACATCATTTGGGATCTCTTCAGCACAATTATTATGTTGCTCATCCATTTCACCAACACCAATATCTAGGGGCAAAGACTCTCCATTTCGTTCAGTTGCATAATCAGATAAAACCACATATTTCCTTCTGTCTAGAAGTGGTTTTGCAATATTATATGGTACCCACCTGGAAAAAGGAAATAATCCAAGTTAGAAACAGTAGCTACAAGGACACAAATGTGAACGTCCATTACAAGTTCTGGTCATTAAAATCTCTAAAAAAACTCGTACAGAGTTAATTTTAGTAGTCCTTCACACTAACACAGGCGCAAGCATGGAAATTGAGAACTGGTCATTGGCAGATACATTGTTTGGAAGGTTTCTTCATAAGTTAATAAATCCCCAAGAAGAGTATAGTTGTCGTATATAAACAATTGAGACATAAAATACACACTGCACGAATTTCGCTGTTAGCTTATTAGGACATGGTGATCTTCATCTTATATATAGTTGAGCCAGGAGAATCTCTCAACGCCTTCTCATCTCTGCCCTCTGGAGTTAGTTCTCAGAAACTTGAGAGGTTAAGGAACAAGGGGAAAACAAGCATGCATGGGTGAAGTTCAATAAGAGTCGTAGACTGCATCAAGAAAAGATGAATTTGTTCTCCACTGACTAAAAAAGGAGTGAGTTTAGTTTACGATGTTCTATCTAGTTGCTTTATAAGTCAACTTTGAAGAATGTGGTACCACACTTGAGTGAGATCACAATATCCTTTACATAATTTGTATCTGGAAAATACTACATAGGTAATGATAAGCATGAAGGAAACACATCTTCACATACGTAAATTTATCAGAAACAGAAAGCTAAATGTCACCATAATTCTTCACCAGCAATGTTCTTTTATATCATAAGCATTTAATGATACAAACCCAACCTTCAATATCAACAGTCAGCCTGATTTTTCACCGTCATGTATGACCTAATTCATGGAGGTAGTAGACTAAATTTCTAACATTTTGTACGCAGGTTATACAAATTGAGAATATTCCTGCCATGAGATCCTTTTCTTTTTTTTCTTTCACGTCAAATATTTGACAGACAACATTAGTAGATCCAGCACCTAGGGTACAAACTGATTGCAACTAAGAAAATGTTCACATCATCATTTATTATCACAGCATATACCTTAAATATTTTTAATTGCATAAGCAAAGTTTGCGATAACTTACTGAAACCGGAGAGGGCACAGGAGTTCAGAAGGCCGATATGCAGCTTTGTATCTCATTTTGCTGCACGAGTGAATGTAATATCCCAGATAATAAAACTCGAGACTTGGACAGTGTAGTTGGTTCTCACTAACCCACCTAATTTCCTCCAGAGCCGAAAATTTTCCAAGTGACAAGAAGGCGAAGTCAGGGTCCCAGAATAAATATTTGCTCGACAGACACTTTGGAAGTATATCAATAACACCAACCGCAATTAGATTACCATCCACCACATACTGTTGATGGAAAGACCCAAAGCCACATGGAGGGGTTGTTTGATCACCATTTGCCGGAACATAAATTAAAGGAGTGTCGACCAAGAATCTCTTGTACGAGCTTTCGCTGACATGATCGGGTGCGTCGTTATGCACCTTAAGCTGATACTTTCTGTATAAAGAATATTCTTCATCATCAAAGCTGGATCTTTTCAAACGAACCTCGAACCTCCGACACGGGCTTTGAAGTCTTTCAGAACACTTCTTTAAACTTCCGTCATTACCACCAGTTCTTGTGCTAGAAATAATGGATTTTATCTCTATTCCAGATTCAACTACAGCTGTTTGTTTTAAAACAGAATAGAAATTTATGTGTCCGTTGCAGGCTCTGACTAACAAACCACGTGATACTATCAGCTGTTTGGAATGTTTCGTCAAAATTTCTGCAATTGCTTTAGGAGAAAGGTCACTCAGGTCCTCAGTTCCTTCAAGACCATGTTGCGATGATTCATTCATGTGGTCAGCATCTCTTTTTAACCGTTTTAGAGCAGCTGCAATCTGGAAAGAAATATTGCAGGAGAATAAAAGTTCCTCAGACTTTTCTGCACCTAACTTTCTTTTAGCTGGAGAGGCTCTTTTGATGGAAGCCTTTGGCAACTGTATGTCAGATGAAAATTTTCCACTTTTTAAATATTGTTGTACTGTGGCATCAAGCTTGTGGGACAAGAAATGCATAATCTCATCAGTTTTCTCCATCCCATTGAAAGCAGATACTGAAAGCTCCATTGCAGAAGCATTTCTATCCTGATTATTTTCGATGCTGGTGTGCTCTCTAGAAGTATGCGGCTCATCCATAATCTTGTCTGTTTCTTTCACATCTAATTGGCCATTTAGAAACCTAAAAATGATACATGCTGCAGTTAGTTTTTTACTCAATCAGAGTCAGTTCAGTCTTCAGAGTAGGATTCATCATGCGATAAAAAGTGGATTAGCCTAAAAAAAAATGATATCGGAGAAATAGAAAATAAAGTTCCGTAGAACTTGAAAGAAACGAAACTTGAAAAAAACAAAAAAAAAAAAAAAAGTAAACATGCAGATTTAAGTGGCAATAATAAATAAGTTACTTACAATGAATGAAAAATGCACACGTCTGAAATTCAGAAAGTAATACAAGGCAAAACTAATAGTAGCATTAAATGAGCAAGCACGATTCCAGTCCTTTCTCGAGCGAAGACATAAAAATGTAAAATCAACGCTCGCAGGCCATGTACATAGTTAGGCATCAAATAAGCACGTTGACATGCACCTATATACAAGGGAGAACTATAGGATTCCCAAATGTCCACACACATAGCCAAAACACTTTCATGCCCACTGTTGCCTATTCTATAATTCATATGTAGCAGACTTGAAGTTAAATGTAGCATCTTTTGAGAATATGATGAGTTTATAGAAAAATGCCTTTTCATCCTTCTCGAAACTCTAATTTGTTCTTTAGAAGGAACAAAGTCGCTAGCTTTCAGACGAATAGTATATGAGGGGCAGCATGAATTTTCCATATCTGGCTTGTACAAGAAACAGCCAGATCTTCTCCAGCCTCTGTCAAGGAGAGCTACAAAGAAGACACAACATAATTATTAAAAACACACTCACAAAAAAAGAGGAACGAAATTCTTTTTGTTTATTCTGTGCCTATTTACTAGAGTGTACAAACTACAAACAAGCAGAGATAGTTGCTAAACAAGTCTATATAAATAATAACTATAACAAGATTTCATACAATGCATTCGTTCCCAGGAGGCAAATGATGAAACTCAAAGACAGGAAGGATGTTTATAAAAATTTCTCAAACCATGAAAGTAATTACAGCTCCGCAGGGAAGAAAACGCACAATATAAGCAAATGCAAAATACAAAAACTTATTGAAACAATTTGACAACCACAAAGTTCACAAGTTACGTAGACAAGATTAGCGAAATATAGATTAATTTGAGGGAAAATAACTTTATTTAATATATGCCAAAATTGCAAGAAAACTGACCTTGATAGTCATCAACTCTTAAACTATGAGCCCACAGCCCTGAAAAGGAAACAAATGAAAAATTAGGAAGCTAAACATGGCTTTGTTCAAAACTCATTTAGGCGGCTAGCAGACAAGGTAACGTAAAAAATAAGAGTAAGAGTGTGTAGTGAAGGAGTGATTACACTTCATCATACTGATATGAGTTCAACAAAACTCAAGGTTAAATATATTATTAATACAGCTAATAGACATCGATATGCTTAGCTACTCATCAAATATGCATCATTCATGTGTAAGTATGAATCTGGTGCAGTTTCTTAGGGTGTGATTAGATATGAGTTATGATCCAACTCAACCGGGGTTGAGTCATTTCATAGCCAATCACCTAATTCAATATCCAACTCAACCCAACTCTCGTATTTTTTATAAACATAATTCAATATTACCAATCTACTTTAACTACCTATCACGTCCTATATTCTTCCTCTTACTTTTACATCATATCAACTTTAATCATTACATTTTAAATATTGTTTAATTTCAAATCTACTTTATTCAAAATAACGCACTTTGACACACCAAGTTGGATCACAACCGGTTTAATCCATATACAATTCCCCTCTTAGAAGGAACGTGACATGTCTCTGGACATGCACGTACAAACAAAATGAGACTTTTGCATGCACGTAAAAACTAAATGCATCCCTTCCTCAGAAAGAATTTTCTGGAAGCTTTTCGCACAGTTTGTGCTCGATCCAGCTTGGATTGAGCACGATGGCGACATATGATCCATAGCCGAACCCACTTAGTGGGATTTTAATGGAAAAGCTTTAGGCAAGAGTAAAAGGGCAATTTTGCATCTACTTATGGACTATGGAGGCACAATACAACTAGGAAATCCGTGATGAAAATGTACAAATGATATGACACCATAGCTATAAAGTTACAAGCCATACACTATAACAAATAAAGTAGAAATGAATGTTTTAGAAGACAGGAAACATATATTATCACCAGAGACGTGGAGGTAATTTTTTTCTGATCCATTTTCATGAAAAAATGCTCAATAACATATCAATAAATTGGAAAATGTTTAGCAATAGGATTTTTAAAATCAATCAATGCTGTATAATGTACGGAACGTCACATCATCTACATATGAAGCAATCTCGTCCATCCAATAATAAATAACCAACCTCTACATTTCTGTCCAAAGCACATGCTTGCGTTGAAATTTGAACAAACATTTGTTGATAACTATTTCTTTCATATTTTCTGAGGCAATGAATCTTTCTCAGTTTCATAATACCATTTAGCATGTAACAATTTTACGAGTAGATTCCATAAAAACTATTTTCAGATTCCATTCCTTGCTAAATATCCTAAATTTATCACAATCTGACAAATATTTTAAGCTGTTCAACATGTATTATTTTTCTAATCATAATGACGACAACTGGAGTCTTCATCACTGAAAAAGTCATGTACCAACTTAGTAAGTCTAAAAATATGATTACTTCTCTTTCTGAAAAGCAAGTCACTAGTGGAACTATAAGCTCGCATGTCTGGTATCATACTCATGATTTGAAATAAATCTCAGTTTCATCATTGCTGAAAGGAAAATACATTAGACAAAGGAAGCAATTCTAGGCTAAAGACAGAACCCTACAAGTTTCCATAGTCCAAATCAATCTTGAGCATATATTCAACGTAATTTATCAAATAAAACCTTTATCAGGTGATAATTTTCAAAAAAGCTTCAAAGTGATCTGCTTGTTTTGAAAATTTCTGACTAGAAAATCTCGATAGCTCAAGATTTTGCCCTCAAATAGTTGATATTTTTATTAAACTTCACCCAAACTTACATTTGACCACAAAAATTCAGAAATCAAATCATTCCTATGGCCGAGATAAAGACTGCAATTTTGCATAGTCAAAGTAGCCATTCAGGTTCCTCTTTCATAAAAGGGGAAAAAAAGTAACCATTCAGACCTTATTTCAATTATCAAAGCAATCTCGGCACAACCGATACCAGTTTCCATTCATAGTTGCTTAATTCATAGAGCGTGAATGGGTATGAGTTCTGATCCAACTCAACTGAACTCCTACTTTAAAAATATAACGAAATAATATCAATCATCCATTCACATATATCACATCAACTTTAATTCATTTCTCCTATAATTTTAACGGCACTTCACTTCCTCTAATCTTTCTCTTACTTTGTATCATATTAACTTTAATCATTACATTTTAAATAATATATAAATTCAAATCTACTTCATTCAAAATAATTAACTTCTGACACACCAAGTTGGATCATAAAGATTTAATCCAAATCCAATCGTCTAGTCAGAAAAAAAAAAAAGAAAAAAAAAAACATGAATCGCAAATTAATTGTGCAGTTATGAGCAAAGTGGAAACTAACCATGAGAAATACTGGTCCGCCCACCAGATTTACAGTATCCACAAGTGCTTTTCCGGCGGCCCACGTCCACCACCTCGCTTTCGGGTCTCCCTTCGTCACCGCCGCCGCCGACGGCGGTACCACTGGTACTCGCTTCGCTCCTCATCTTCTTGGCATCCGCCATCACCGATCTTCAGACTGATTCGATTTTAAGGTGCTACAAATAAGAAGATATCAAAACGTATTAAGCTTCTATCCGGAGAAGAAGCTTAGAAAGCATCTTGCTATATTACATTTTAGGTCTTGGTAAGGTGGTCTTGAATACTTTTTAAGAATTTTTTAAGACATTAAAAAATTGATGACTTTTGTAAATTTTATAGCACTTTTAGCGAGTGTGTATTCAATTGAGATTTTTAATAACTTTTTAAAATTTTTTAAATTTGGTGACTTTGTGGACTTTGTAAAACTTTCATTATTTTGATTTTGTGGACTTTGTAAACCTTTTATTATTTTGGTGGACTTTTTGAAATTTTCAGAGAATTCTCATGAGTGACTTTTTAAGACTTTCATAATGGACTTTTTAAAACTTATTGAGAATTTTATATATTTGTAGTTATAATATTATGTTTAAATGAAACATTAATAAACGTAACATAATAACTAATATCAAGAAGAATAAATGAAAAAAATTATTTAATATATATAAATTCTCTAAAAATTTATGAATCAATTTATCGGTATGCGAAATGAGTTATTCACGAACAAATTGTTTAGGATTTTAGATTTATTAAACGAGCAAATCAATTCAAGATTCAACGTGTAGCGCCCCACTTTGATTTTAAAGAAATTCCAGACTTTCCAAAAATCAATAAAACATTTTCGAAATCATGGGCATTATTCAACAATTACATAGATCAAGTCGTGTCTGATCTCACGAGGATTCATTACCCGATTTTTCATGTGGTTTTCATTAATCAATCATCAACAATTTCACATGTTATTCAGCATCGTAACTCAGCATGAACAACTAATACTTACATGATATTCAAAGAACACATCAAAACATGAATGTCCAAATATCATGACTCAGAACGAATCCAACAAACGGGTTTTCGAAACAAACCATTTCCAACATTTTCAAAGCCAAGTTTGAAACCGATCAACATGTCAAATAAACTCAAACATAAGTTCATAGAAAAGTGGAAGCAAAAGCAATAATAAATGATCATCCACTCGTCTCTTCATTCGTCACGTACGTAACCTGCCTAACCTGCATCCGTGAAGAAACAGGTGGGAGTGAACACAAATGAAAACTATGGTGCTCACCACTATGCACATATACAATATATAATGTCAAGAGGGTATGGTCGCAGCATGAACATAAATCATTAACATCATGTCTCATATCCTATTCACAACGTACCAATTAACTCAATCATGTGCACATCTATCATTAGCCGCGGAAAGGGGATGCATAAACCCTAACGGCGGGAGTGCGTGCCACGCATCGAACACGGCCTTACATAGGGGCTTACGTACCTCACAAGGGCACGACCATATCAGGACTTAAGAATATTGCCACACAAGGGCACCATACCGTAACTCGACGGGGACAACCGTACCGACGGCCGTAACATCTCACATCGGTAGCTACATGGTTCACATGCATACATTGATCATACCGACCCAACAAACATAAACACATATGGCATAGCAATTATTGGATAACAACCCACCTGGTTACCGAAAAAGGTAAAACACAACAAGCAGTGGAATGTAGGTCGAAGCTCGACTCCCCAAACACCTACATTTAACAAGATAGTCCTATAAATAACTATTCGACACATGAACACATATAGCAACATTGACTTGATCCAATTCAGCTCATATAGGTCATATAAGCACGTATTTTAAAAGTAACTCTATTTCCGAACATTCAACGTGAGTTTTCAAAACTTAACCCGCGCAGTGATTTTAAAATCAACACAACTTGCAGCACATATATCATATAATCATGATTTTAGTTGCATTTGAACCCTAAGACATGCATCTACAATTCTTATGAAGACATCAGAAACAAATAAGGTCATTTACCAGGAGATAATTCAGCAAACATTCATAACAGAGTTGCAGTCAGAACAACCGAATTTTTAAACTTACCGAGCTTCAGTAATTGTCACATAACTCATGCTATAGACCTCCAAATGACATGATTCAAGGACCAACAAAAATCTAAGAAACAAGTCTACAACTTTCTTGAAGTCATTAATGGCAAATAAGGGCATATGTTCATAGTTTACCTATCATACATTCGAAACATGGTGCAGTCCAAGAACAAAATTATACATCCTACAAAGCCTTAGTAATATTGGAATATCTCATGCTACAAGCATGATTTTGACTTGATTAAAAAACAAACACGAAGCTAAGACATAAGGCTACTTTTTTATGAATACCACTTTCACAATTGAGCACATTCAGACATCGAAAATAGGCCAAACATTTAATATGAATATGCTGTCGGGTTCACAGAAAAACTGCTTGCACACTTATTTTGTAAAAATCATAACTCACTCGACTTAAATCAGATTTACAAAATTCTAAAGCCCACTGAAAGCTAACTTAATGAACTACATTTTATATGAAGAACACACCTTCAAGAAACGAGTTCTTGAAGGTCATTTCAGAGGCACAACAGGGACAGCAAAACACGATTAATCATGTAAATTTCAATGAACGTTCAATTCATCAATCTCTATATCAAAAGCAACTCATTACATCAAACCAACACCATATATCTTATTATAAATCACATAAACAAGGTGAGAATTCACACTTAGCATGCTTGATCAACCACTCAAACACCAACTCACATAGAACTCCAACACAATTTTCATAAGCACATAAAATAACGAGCCTTGCATGCACATCCCTCAAAGTATTAACATATTATGATGATAACACAAATTAACAAATCAAAATAGAGAGTCTTATCACCCATGATATCGTTCTCGGGAAATTCACATGAAAGGATTGAGAGACGGTTAACAGGTTTGCAGTCACGCGCGAAACGGGCTTGGCAGCGCTACTTGGCTCGTCGGCGGGTGCAGTTCTTGCTCGCTGAACGTCTGCGTGTGAGTGATGTCTTGGGACAGCGATCGAGCACAGAGGTTCATTGTTGCTGGACGTTGATGGCTCGCGAACGGTAACACACGAGCTGCAGGTCGCGGTGGTCTGCTGGTTTATGGCGCGCGTGGCCTGCTGGTTCACGGTGCACGCTCACAAGGATCGAGGTGCACAAACAGCGGGTCAGATTGTGTGCTTACAGCGAACGGGACTCGAACTGCGGGACCCGATGACGGTGACTGAACGTGATCACGACGATGATGGACGTGGAGGCTTGTGATGGTGATGAACAACGATGGGATGATCAGTTTTTCAAGAGAGAGGGTGATGGATGAAGATGAGATAGCGAGGGATTAAGAGTGTGAGTGGGGTTTGGTGTCTATCGGGAATTAACGTGAAGATAAAAGGGGAGGGTTTACGATATTATATAGACTTAGGTTAGGGCTTCCTAACAAAACTTACCAAACAAGAAATACAAGAGGGGGAAAGAAAGTCGGTCGGGGCGCACGAAGGGCGTGGGTGCGCGGGTCGAGACACGGATCGGGTTCTCTTCTCGGTTCAACACTTAACGAATTTATGAGGCTTGGTTCAACGCGACGATAATTATAATAAATCCGGACCAAATATATATATACATATTACACACAATATTTATTTAATATTAACAAGCAAATAAAACAATTAGAGAATTAATATAAAAAATAATAATAATGCGATAATAATCCCAAACATATTCATAAACAAACGGGGCGTTACAATCTACCCACCTTAAAAAGCATTTCGTCCTCGGGATTCGAAAACAAAATAACTAAAAAGCAAAAGAATACAAAGGGGAACTCAAAACATGAAGTTCGGATATCTCCTCCTAATATCAGTATCAGTCTCTCAAGTCGCCTCAAACTCGTCATGTCGGCTCCACTGCACCTTCACGAGACTCACTGTCTGGTTCCTCAACTGATGGACCTTTCGCTCTAGTATGGCCACCGGTACCTACTTATAGGTAAGGTCTCACTCAATCTGCAACTCTCCGAAGTCCACCATATGGTCGGGATTATGCACGTATCTTCGCAGCATCGAGACATGGAACACGTCATGCACTCCCGACAAGTCCGGTGGCAAAGCTAGCCGATAAGCCAAGTCTTTGACTCGAGCAAGGATCTCAAAGGTCCTGATATAGCGAGGCTGAAGCTTCCCCTTCTTTCTGAAGCGAATCACACCCTTTATGGTCGAGACCTTCAGAAAGACATGATCGCCAACTGCATTCTCATGCTCTTTCCTCTTTCGATTGGCGTAGACCTTCTGCCTCTCTTGGGCAGACCTGATCCTCTTCCGGATCTCCTCAACTTGTTCTGAAGTCCTACGAATGAACTCCGGACCCATGATCTTTCTTCCCCGACCTCATCCCAATATAAGGGAGCCCGAACCTTCCGTCCGTACAAAGCCTCATATGGGGCCATCTTGATCAAGGAGTGGTAACTATTATTAGAGGCTAGCTCGACCAATGAAAGTACATTCTCCCAAGTTAGGCTCCGGTCCAAGACCACAGCCCTCAAAATATCCTCTAAATACTGGATCGTCCGCTCTGACTGACCATCTGTCTCGGGGTGAAAGTTTTGACTAAACTCCAACCTCGTCCCCATGGCTTGGTGCAAAGTCTTCCAAAATTGACCTGTGAACTTCGAGTCTCGATCGCACACAATCTCCACGGGCACCCCGTGAAGTCGAACAATCTCATCAACGAACAACTCAGCATAATCACTAGCCTTCATAGTCGTCCGGACGGGCAAGAAGTGGGCAGGTTTCGTGAGTCGATCCACAATCACCCAAATAGAGTCGTGCCCAACTCTCGAGGCAATCCCACTATGAAGTCCATGGTGAGGCACTCCCATTTCCACATGGGAATCTCAAGTGGCTTCAACATCCCTCTCGGTTTCTGGTGCTCAGCCTTCACTTGTTGACACACCAGACATTGGTTCATAAATCTCGCTACTTGCCTCTTCATACGCCACCAGAACGTCTTCCTCAAGTCCTGGTACATCTTTGTGCTACCAGGATGGA